TTACCAATTACATAATGGGAAGACAAGTGCTGTATTGCACAGATAGACTTTTGTAAATTTAGAATTTTGAGGGTCATTTTTAAAGCCCATCTTCCTTTCGGGGGCACAGAACCCTCTGCTAGACTGTCCTCTGTCTTATCTTCCATGATTAAAGGGTCACCTAGTCCACTTCGTTCATCTTGCTCAGTTTAGTATTGAATTCACCCAGACCCAGGATAACCCTGCGACGTGACTTCTCTTGGGATCTGAGCTTGTTCCAACTCCGCAAGCCCAGCCTCTCTACCAAACGGCTGCGGTAACTTCCATCCAGGGCTGCTTTCCCCAGGCCCTCCCCACCAGGCAGCCACATACTCTCCTTGATTTTAATCTAATCACATCTCTGTCTCTTGCTCCCTATCATATCAAGGCTTTTCTCGCAGCCATTTCTCTTGGGGATAAAGACCTTGTGCTCCCTGTGCCCGCCTCATTCTCTAGTCTCTAGTTTATTCTCTGGGCAGTATTCACCCTGACCTCCTACTTACTTCCCCTGCCACAGGGCCTTTGCGTGAGCTCCTGTCTGGTCAGCACTGCCCAGCATGGCTCCTTTAATTCTCAGGGGATTCCGTCAGTCCTTCTCCTGTCTGGGGTTGCAAGTTCACCTGTTAGCACCTGTCCCACTTGCAGGTTCGCTTCTGTTGGTTGAGTTGTTGGGGCCTATCCTTCCTACCAACCGCATTCTTCATGAGGCAGGTGCTGGGTCTGACTTACTTACCTTTGGTTCCCTAGCAATTACTTGGTAAACACTTGAAAAAAATAAATATCTGTGCCCCCAGGGAAGTGAGGAGAAGGCTGGAGTTAGAGCTCATGTGTCTTGACATCCAAGTCAGAGGGTTTCCCTTTTCACCAGGGACTCGAAGTGTCCCCCGGTGGACACTGGTGTTGCGGGTGGTCTGGGCCCCAGACCTCCGGGCCAGTAACGGTGTCTCTTCCCATCCTACAGTGTGAAAAAGTGGTCGGAGACAGTGGAGGTAAGATATTAAGCAGCTCGTTTTCTGTCTCATGAATTTTTTTTAACTTCTGACACCTGCTGCTGTTGACTGAGATTTTGTTGTGAACATGTGTTTAGCCCACATTACATAGACATGTTGAGCTAAATTTGTAAGCGGTTGGTGGATAACCCTGCAAAGCAAGCCACGAATGCCAGGTCCTCGGTCCTCCCTTCAAGCTCAGGAGACAACTACATTCTTTTCCATGGTGAGACTCTACCTGCCCCTGCCCCTGCCCTTGCCCCTACCCTTGTCCTGCACCTGCCCTTCCCCTGACCCTGCCCCTGCCCTGCCCCTACCCCTGGCCCTTCCCCTGTCCCTGCCCTGCCCCTGCCCTGCTCC